GGGGACAGCTGGTGTTGTAGGAACAGGGTCACAGGTGCCCAACCAGTGGATCTATGTTCACTTTGGCTCCAATGAGAAAGACGCTCTTCCCACTAACGAGGTTTATGAATCCGGGCCCCCTCCCGCTTCCTGGCAGCAGAACGTACAGCTAAGCTGCCAGAGAGACTGCAGCCACCCGTGATCAGCTTGGATGTTTCACTGCTGTTCCCAGGGCTGACAAGCAGAGCGACACAACTGCTGGTGGCTCCTAATACTGATGCCAAATCACGGAAGCGATCCCTGCCAGTCCACACTTCTCAGAAATAAAAAATGAGGTGGGGCCCCCAAAACACGCCCCCAGACTCAACCAACCCAGAAAACATTCCGTAATGATGCTGGTTATGAGATAAAATATAATGTAACCTCTTTAAGTATGGAGATCAATAAACACATTCACATCACTGTTGTGAAGATTACAGTATTTTGCATTATATATTGTTGTCCGTATCATTATCACCAGCTCCTAATGTGGAGGAATCGGAATGACACCACAGTGTTGGTCCACAGTATTTATAATTCTTCTTTGCCTTTATAGTTAAGTTCATGTAAAATAAAATGTATGTAATTTTTACTCCATTGCTTTCTGAAAGGACAATATCAAGCTAAAAAGCAACTCTAAATACTGCTGTATGGTAATGGATTATGAAGTGTTCTTATATATGAGAGCTCAAGTTTTTCTTTCAGCGATAGGGTATATACAGTTAAATCACTCAAGTCTTTTATTATGAGACTTGCTGAGCAGTGAATTGTGTTCACTGAACACAAAACATTTGGCCAAACAGTCATCTGGTTAAAACAATTAATAGTAAAACATTCACAAGAGCCTTCTTCAGAGCTGACATTCAACTATGCACTGAATGAATGTTTCCAGTTTTTCAGGACAGTCATTAGTATTAAAAAGACTTTTCAGAGTTGTTTTCAGAGCAGAGAGAGAATTTCCTCGCCTAGCCTCTGCAATGCCCAGCCCTGCCACTCCCGACTCTTGCTAGGCATCGTTGCTCAGGACGGGTAGACAAAGGGTAAACTCTGGGCAGAGAACATTAGTGGATATTAGAACGAAAGAAAGTCAATGCTGCAGGGTCTTGCAGACAGCCGAGTTCTACCTTCCGCTCCACTGCTGAGCAAGAGTGCAGCAGGGAGAGGGCAGGGACTCACTGAAAGCTAGACACCAAGTCAGTGGCAGACCTGGGACTGGGAAGTCCGTTCGAGTTTGAAACAATAAATACTGGGCGTCAGTCCCAACGCACGCCTGCTCCAGGTCTTCCAGCTCTTTTGGAGCGCTAGGCCCATCTGGCCCCGCGCTGATCTCCGGGTGGACTCAGTCGAGCAACTGGCACAACCATGACGACAGCCTTGCAGCAAGGTGCGGGCGGCCTTTTCCTCTGCCAGGGTTAAGGTGAGTAACACCACCTCGGGGCTGAGCAGCCAGGGTGGGAACTGCCACCCCCCCCACTGCGCCAGGCCTGAAAACTAGCGCCGGGACAAACCCCATCCCTCGCACCCACGCAGGACACCCATTCCCTGATCCATGGGGCGGGACCTACCTGTACTGGAGGTCGCGGCTCCCGGTTCAGCAAAGCGGGAGGAACTGCAAATAAGGAGAGCCTCAGGAGGCAGCCTTGCACGCGCCCTTTGCTTTTTCCCAGAAACTGTCCGCCCGGCGCTCCCTTCCCCCAGCCCTTTCGGGCCCAGCGACAAGCCTGGAGGCCCCGCCCCTCTCCTTCCGGCCGTGCAGGGTGGGCACCTCGCGCGCCTTGGACTTGGCCTGCAGTGGAGGCGTACTAGAGCCTCTGATCCAGAAGGATTTGGAATGGGGCGCTCTAGTCGGTCAATCACCTTCATTTCACAGATTTGGAGTCACAGGCGCAGAGAATAGGTGGACCCCTAAAACTACAGTGCGCGCAAAGCCTGAGTCGTCTTGCTTGCCTTTCCAGAGTCTCCCTGCTGTGCTCCTATTTATGGTGGCTTATCAAGGTTTGCTGCAACTGAACTTCTTCCACATGTTACAAAGAAGGACCAAAAAGTGTACTCAATTAGTATGTGCGATGGAAACCCAGAGCAGAGGAAACAGTTGGGAACCAGAACAAACAGCACATATAATGTATAAACATTGAAAAATGGGAAACTGAGCAGTACTGTAGTTATTAGAGGTGAAAAATATTATTGTAGTCTAACGTCAAAAGGGTAATAAAAGAAGCAATTTGTAAAACTAAGGATCAACAAAAAGAAAAAGGTTTCATACTTTTGCCCCGGAATTCTTTCCACCAGACACTCTGCCCCTATTTGTCTGCTTAGAAAACTGCTACTCTTTGTTTTTGACTCAGTTTACATATTACCTCATCTGTGAATCCTTCCCTGTCTTTCCCAAATAAATGGATACTCTCGTTTTCCATGGATTCATTATGCCCGATGAAACCGGTATAGGTCTCAAGTATCCCGCACCACTCTGGATCTTAATTCCTGGCTTTGGGTGCCTGTGTCCTCCAATGAACAAGTAGCTTCTTGAGAGCAGAAAATTTGTATTTTTCAAATTTATTTTCCAAGACCCTAGCATAGAACCTAACATATAGTATTTGTTTAGTGAATATTTGTTGAAAATGGCCTAGAACCAGTGGGTAGACAGAAAAAAAAGGGGGGGTATAGCTAGGGTGTGAATTCATATACAGAGGAATAACTGAATAAAGTGAGATTCTAGACTCAGGTTAGTGTTCATGCAACAAACATTAATGTGTACCTACTGTACACGAAGTGCTATCTTAAGCCCTGGGTATAAAATGATAAGCAAAACCCAGATGGAGTCTTTGGCCTTATGGAGTTTAAAGAACAAATAGGAATTGGCCAGGCAAATGGGAAAAGAAACATTCCAGACAGAACGAGCAGCATGATCAAAGTCCCTGTGATAGGAAGGAGCGTGGCAGTAGCGACTAGAGTGAAAAAAATCAATAAAGGTAAAGTAAAATGAACAGATAGGAAGTACAGAAAGAAGCAAGAGGTTGATAGATTAAAGCCTGTTTAAGAGCTGGAAAAAGAAGCCAGTTTTCTTAGTAATAGTAACTAGCATGTATTAAACCTGCACTGCATACCAAACATTGGGTTGTTTTGTAACAAACACTTCAGGTAGATAATATTATTATTCCAGCTTTAGGAGTAATGAAAGTAGGGCATGGAGAAGTTCAGCAATTTTGCCAGCATCACACAGCACTTAAGTTTCAGGGCTGAGATTCAAACCTCGGTAATCTGGTACCAGGCGGAAGAGCAGGAACTGTAATAAAAGCACAAGGAAAAACTACAAAGAACTCTTTCACAAGCTACTGGGTTGTCGGAAAAGTCATGGCGTTTTTTGTCTATGTTTTTTGTTGCAAAAATGCGTCATGACTTCTCCAACAACCCAATATATTCATTGTTCCCTGGTAGTTAGCATCTCTGAGAAACAATACTAAGAGCTTCAAGAACCAATACCCTGGACTTGAATATTAGTGCTCTAGACAGAAGACTTTGACGTAGACATTGGTTGGTATTGGCGCCTTTGGTAGGTGATGCCATCAAGCAGCAATGATCTTAACATTAGGCAGCAGGAGTAAGCCAGAGCGGAAGAGGAAGGACACAGTAGATGCCCTGAGTGCTACTTTGTGGAGCACGTGTGTGAGACCTTGGGCAAAGGACTTCACTTCTCTGACCCTCATTTTCCTATTTCACAACTGGGCATAATAATAGTATCTATATCACAGCCATGTGATGATTAAATGAGACAATATATGTGAAGTGCCTGGCTGTATCTGTCACACAGTAAATGCTCAGTGAGTATGAGCTGCTATGATGATGGATATTACTATTATAATAATGCATTTTAGTGACTGAAGTAGGGGAGGCATGACCAACCAGGGAAGATGTGATTCAAATACAGTTTGAGGAAGGTTACATGGAATATCAGATACATATTGAGTGGATGGTGAGACAAAAGTTTATTGCCTCTTCTTTGCATCAGTTGCATCCTTTTCCCCTCATTTTATTCTGTGCTGTAATTGTTTACTTGTTGTTTTCCCTTATTATGATGTGTGTGTGTGTGTGTGTGTGTGTGTGTGTGTGTGTGAAGCTGCCAGAAGTGCTGGCACAGAGTAGGGACTTAAAGAATATTCATTGAGTAAGTGCATTAATGTTCAAATTAAAAGCAATAGGTACAAATGTGCTATAAAATAAGTTGGAAAAATGATAGTATCTGGGTCCACTTATGGCCTTCCTGTGTTTCCAGAACACACCAGACTTGCTCCTGCTCTGCTTCCAATAATATAATCTGCTCATCTATAATAAAATGTGTCTCTGCCTGCACTGATAACACTACATGCCAAGGGTTGGCAAATTTTTTTGGTAAAGGGTCAGATAGTAAATATTTCAGGTTTGTAGAGCACATAGTCTTTTTCTGCCACTACTTAATTCTACCTTCATTGAGCAAAGGTAGCCACAGACAATACTGAAATGATGAGTGTGGATGTGTTCCAATAAAACTTTATTTACAAAAAAGGGCAGGTGGCAGAATTTGGCCTAAGGGCATCTAATTTGGCAACCCCTGCCCTAGACCAAATTACCACCATCTCTTGCATGGACTATTGTATGTGAATAAGGTGTGGGAGCCAGCACCTTTGACCAACATGTACATCTTGGTTTTATCAGCATCTTAATGAAGATTTCATGCTCTCTAATCTTGTTCATATCCTGAAGAGTTGGAGAAAAGTGATTAAAACTATGTTGTAATTTTGAATTTTGATTTGTCAAAATGATACTTAAAAGAGCCAACTACTAGTGATCTTTGAAAAGGTAAAAAATGCAGGAAACAGACAAAATGAAGACATAATAAAATTAACTTTGATTATGTAACTAAAAGTGATTTTTATCCAGAAAATAAATATTCTGGACACATTGCCATGTTGAATTTGGCAGAGGCTTCGGCCTATGACAATTCTACTACATACTTTATATGGAAACAAATAAATGCTAAAATTTTAAAGAAATCATTTAGGCCATGCAAAATTTTCCTCGTCTACCAATCGACAAATTTGTTAAAAGTTGAAAGTGTATTAATGTGTCTGAGAATATGAAGAGGATGTGACATTTCCAACTCAATAGACATATGATTCAGCACAAACTCAGTAGCCTTTGGAATGATGATAATGTTGTATGTCTTGATTGTGATGTTGGCTACACAGTGTCTACATTTAAAAAAATTTATTGGGTAACAGTGTGTTTTTCCAGGACCCATCAGCTCCAAGTCAAGTAGTTGTTTCAATCTAGTTGTGGAGGGTACAGCTCAGCGGCCCATGTGGGGATCAAACCGGCAACCTTGGTGCCATGAGCTCTGCACTCTAACCACCTGAGCTAACCGGCTGCCCCCACAGTGTCTACACTTGTGAAAACTCATTGATCTGTACAATTAAGGTCTGTACACTTAACTGTGTATAAAATACACCTTGATAAAAATTAAGTTGAAACAAAGGATACTACTTGGTAGCTCACAGAATCATGATGAGGTATGGAGAAACACGCATGGAGCTGAGATTCCAGGTTCGACAACCAAAAATTCACTGCACGACTGGTGTGGTGAGGAAACCTCTATTCATATTACGAAACACTATGAATACCACTGCTACGACTGCAACAGAAACTTACTTTAGTCAATAATATTGATGGCTGCCACTTCTGTGTCAATTTGGCAATTATTATGGCTGCTCACAGAGAGAGCATGAATGTAAGAGCATTTTGTGATCAAACTCTGTCACAACCATTGTCAGTTTAGTTATTCTTATATTATGTGATTCTAAATAGTTTTTAACCTTATTTGAGTAGATTTATTCCATGTGTGTACTATATTATAAATGGCTTTGAATCCACTTTGGATTTGAGTCAAGAAATGCATAAAACAATGGAAAGGTATATGGTAGTCACCAAATCATATTAATTTTTCTCTTATTACCTATTACTTTCTTTTCAGTTTTACTGCTGGTGAGGCAAAGACACTGGCATCTGACAAACCTAGGTTTTGATCCTGGTCCCTGTGCATTACGAACCCAAACCCTTCTTGGAGTTTCCTTTGTTTTGCCACTTCCCAACTTCCATGAGTCTTCCCTAGATTAAATATTCCCTGTTGCTTCAACTGTTTCTCATAAAATGAGTTGGACTACCATCACATGCCAACAGGAAAAATTGTGTCTTCAAGAGATTGGAGGCCAAGTTCCCAAATGATATCCTGTCCACTCAGGAGTCAGGCTGATGTCAGCCAAGGTCCTCTCCTTCCAGTGTGGCCTAAGATTTCCTTGGGTTCCATAGGGTATTACCAGCAGTGCTGGGCCCAACTTCTCCAGTACACTGACTTTGTAGGTAAGAGACTCAGGGTCTCTGGAGTTCCAGAGCATTCTAAGCACTCAGGATGCTCTTCATTTATACCCCATCTTATCCAAATCATCTGTACATCCGAGAGCGGGACCTCTCCAACAGAGCAGTGCAAATACCCCTGCATGGCCGCTGCTTTGCCCATACATTTACTACAAGCTCTCAGCAGCCAAAGACCACCCCCAAAGTGAAGGTGGGTGGTCCCCACTATAAAGTCAGCCTCTCTGGGGTATAGGGGCACCACATCCAGCTTCAAGGCATTTTCCTATTTAAAAATTTTTTATTAATGGAAAAATTCAA